GGCATTATTATTGGCAATTGTACAATGCTTCACACAATATTCCTCTTTACAAGAATATATAAATATATGTTCTGATTTAGTGTTGGGAGATCTCTCTAGTAACTCACACTGGCTCCCTAAATGCTTCGTAAGGACAGATCTTGCGCATTTTATAAAGGTAGCCAGTAAGTGGATACCTCTTAAAACCGTTCCCAGAAGAGTCAGAGAAGTTATCTTGCGATAAATCGGACTACTCGTCAAGTGTCAATCCATTAATGATATGTATGCATTGCTGTTATCTGTATTTGTTGTTCTAATTAATGAGACTGATGGAAATGATGTACACGGTGGAGATACAACAGCATGTGAAAAACACAAGCAGCATCTTATAAGAGCAACTTCCTCGGGTTTTTTAGACTTTGAAGAACAATTTAATGCAATTATAGCCGCTGTAGAAACAGAAGATGAGGCTCGTCAATTAATTGAAGAAGAATTTGATCTCCAACTTTCTGGACTAGATGATTACAATAATCCTTTTCAATCATGGCTACCTATAAAAGAAGGAACTGGTATTAATTCAATGTATTTGCCCTCTCTAGTTCCATTAATTATTAAATGTATTAAGCTGTTGCCCCTTTGGTCTGGATTAATGATACCAGTATTTAGTTACGGAAGTGAAACTGCCAGTTCTGCAGCGGTCGAATCCAGCTTTAACAAGATTAAAAATACAACATTCAAACATATATCGTTACCTACTGATTTGGAAATATTTTTAGAGCACCATATCACCTCTCTTCGTGGATCTTCATTGTTACGTTCATGTCAACAACCTATTTCTTCATTAGATCGAATAGATGAAACTGTTATACCAAATGAACCGTACCAAACATATGACATTCACGAAGCAGATAAATTAAACCATACAGGTGATGACATACAGCATATAAATCAATTAATCCATGAAGACGACTTGAATCACACAGATGAGGTTTAAACCTTAAGTGTTCGTTTAATGTCCATAATAATACAGAAGGATCAAATATTTTAACTGAAGAAGACATATCTATAGAAAGTTGGAGAAGGCGACCAAAAACCTTACAAAAATCCCGTTCCTATCTTTATCCAAATTCAACCCTACAACATTTACGAATGAATAATTCAAAAAACCTCCGGTCACTACCCGTTATAAAAAATGGCTCACGTGCAGATGAGCTTAAAAGTTGCACGGTTCAAAATATAAGTAGAGTTATATTTAATAATACTTGTGCCTTAGCATCAATACTAATGGTAAGCTACAGTGATAGTATTGAATACTGTAGGAAAGTGGATTTGAGTACCAATGTATTTCTCACATTTGTCGCTGGGTTAGTTAAAGATGGAGTTACAGCTAAGACATACTCCACAAGAGCAGAAATAATGGTAATTTTTAAAAATAATTGCTACTTATAAAATATGTACATATTCTATATAGGTACTACATAGGTACTTACTATAAATAATATTAAACTGTCTAATAATATTTAATTATTTATTTATTTATACTTTACAAAAACTTTACAGCACGCTCATTTAAAAAATTCTTATTTTAAATAATTTTAGATGAAACATTTACAATCAAATCTGGAATTATTATCTTATGGTATAACATTAGCTACGTGTGATTCAACAGCCGGACATATACTGAAATCTCTGTTCTGTGATTTTCCTACTGCATTGGATACAGTTGTATGTAATGTTGAAGATTGTGAAAGAAGTGTAATAACTCCAACACCAATTACAGTATTAATGTACAACACAAACAATAACAAATTAGATGGTTTACAAAAGTTCATAGATATAAGGCTGAGTACTGAAGTCTCAACGTGTGGATATGCGACAAATCATATTAATCTGTGCAATGGGCACTACTACAGTCAAGGGATCAAATATGCATTTATTTATTGAAATATTGAATTTGCAAGGTAAGATTTGATACAAAATAGAAAGACCTTACGAGTTAAAATTTGAACTATTTTTACTGAGTAATATAAACAATTTTTTAAAATAACATTAAACGTAATGAGTCAATGTTTATCAATTATTTATAGTAATTTTTGAGTTAATTAATTGAAATATAACGTAAAGTAATTATTTTCTTAATTTAAAAGATTTATATTAAATATAGATTTTATTAATCAACTACATACAGGTTTGAATAAACGATTTTTAATAGTTTAAAAAATGCATGGTCTTTACGAAGGTTGAAAAAAGTATAATTATTATAGATATAAGTAAATGTTTTTTTTTATATTTAACTTAAATATTTTTAAACTGACCTGCCCGACTTTCCAAAGTTTTTTTAAACTTAAAATAGAGATATGCAAAATCATCAAAATTATAATTAATAAAATATTATGAATCATTAAAATATGATTTTAGGAGAAAATGTTAATGAATATAGTACAGAGGCTCTTCCTCAACTAGAAATTCAACTAAAAAATATTCCTGAGGTTTTACAATATTCGGGAAAAAGTTTTGAACTGAGAGGAGTCTGCGAATATCGCCGTGGACTCAGTCGACTTAGATCATCAATAGGTCACTATTTTGCGTTGTGTAAACGTGGACCCACAACTGGGAAATATACGACGATCTACTAAAAAAACCAAAGTCAGTCAAAGAAACAACCGAAGTTCCTTGTGAAATTCTAATTTACACAATATGAATTTGAATATAAAAAAAAAAATGTGTTTTTTTTTTTGTTTTAAAAAGTTAAATAAATAAAAAACAAAACATATTTTATCTTATCTTGTGTTTCTATGTTTTAGATTTAAGGAATACTTCACAATGTACCTACGTCATATACATTGGTTATTTTATTTATTTTATTTTTATTTATTCTTCAAGAAGATAATGGGTCCCACTGAACATGTTCACATGTTTGTGTTATGAACTGTAATTGATGTATAAAATAATAATAAATAGACAAGGTACTAGACTATGACTAGACCTATAGACTAGGTACGGTGTTACCTACTAGTTGCCTCCCAACTGTAAGTCAAAAAGTTCAATAATTTGTATTAAACTGCCTCCCGATTGTATACAAGTTGGCTCATCCCATCGTATCCTATATTTTTTTTTTTTTTTTTTTTTTATTT